CCTAAAACCCTACACCCTAAACCGCCAAAAAACAAACCCTAAGCGCAGGTTCCACTGGGACTTCCGAAGTGTGGACTTGGACCACATTGTCACACAGGCCCTTCACGTCCCTTGGGGCTCTTTTGCCGAGACTCCCGGGACTCTCTGGGGTTCTAAGAAGCAGGGCGGATCCTGATCTTCCAGTCCCTCTGAACCCTAAGATCCTAAACCCCTAAGACCCTAAGCCCTAAACCCCTGCGAAGAGAGAGCCTCCCTCCTACATGCCTCAACCAGCATGGTATTCCAGACAACCCATTGGGCAGATGGAAAAGAGGCTATTAAAAAAAACCCCTTCTTTTTTTTGGCTCGCTTAGCTAAGTGGGAGGGGAAAAAGCTTTTTTCTTGTCTAAACCCTCCACCCTAAACCCTAAGGGAAAAACCCAACCTCACAGAGCCTAGAGCCCCAGGTGGACACCTGCCAGGGCCTCCTGACTCTCACGGCATCGAAGCCCCTAACCGGTCGCCAGCTCGAGCCTCTCCTGCACGCAAGCTTCACCAAGAGGACCACCCCCCCAGAGCCCATCAATATCCCGGAAGATTCCATCAACAAAAACCTCCTAAAGCCTAAATCCGAAACCCCAACTCCTAAACCCTAGACCCTAAACCCTGAATTTTCAAGGGATCTCCCAGAACAAAATAACTCCCGAAGTTTCCAGAGCTCTGGAGAGCCGAGGAGCTCACGGTCTCGGCGCCTCTGGGCTCCTTCTCGGAGCCTCTGTACTTCCCCACGAGAAGAGGCTGGAGCAACCGGCCCGGCAGCGTGGAGAGCTACCGGGCTCGGGCCCTGGCGCCTCGGCCCTTAAGGCAGGTTTTAGGGTTTAGGGTTTAGGCAGTGGATTCGGACAGTTTGGCAGGAACATCACTGTGTGACCACGTTCTCAGTTCTCAGTGCGGATGATCATCAGTATGCGATACACTTTTCGGGCCTCTAGTGTTGAGGGATTTAGGTTTGAGTTTGGCGGCGCTTCCCGGATGCCATAGTCTGGAAGTGCTGCTTCCCAGCTGATTGGCAGAGTCTGGGTTCAAAAAAGGGTTTAGGCAGTTTGTGATTTTGAGATATATCGGCCTTTGGGAGAGAGATGCCAGTCGCAGGCCCCCAGATCCTAGCGCCGGAAAGCTCCGAAGCTTTCGCCGAGCGAGGGCCTCTTTTTCCCTTGAGCCCTCCACTACCCGAAGCCGCTGCGAGCCAAGGTCAAGATCTTCCACCGTGGGGTGTTGCAGGACGGAGGGTTTCACAATCCATCCGTCCATGCGTCCGTCCATCCATCCATCCATCCATCCATCCATCCATCCATCCAAGCATCCAAGCATCCATCCAAGCATCCGTCCATCCGTCCATCCGTCCATCCGTCCATCTATCCATCCGTCCATCCGTCCATCCATCCATCCATCTCCATCCATCTCCATCCGTTGAGCGAGCGAGCGAGCGAGAGGTAGAAGTAGGTAGTAGCAGGTTGTAACATTTAGTGGCAAGCAGTAGTATGTAGTAGTAGGCAGTAGTGTTAGTAGGTAGTAGTAGACAGTACAAATTCGTGGTCGAGGTCAACTCGTGATGATTATCATTATTGGGGCCATTGCCACTACCATTGCCACCCACAATTACTATCACAAGGTCACCAACTCACTGCCGACCGCTGTAGCGTAACGCGTGTGTAAAAGAGCTGTGCATGTGCAAGAACACGAGCACTCAGAATTGCAGGTAGAAGGGGCAGCCACACTAGCAGGAGTGGCAATGCCTGAAGTAGTGAGTGATCGTGATATGGCACTGCAGGGGATGAAGAGGGAAACCCTGAACCCTAAACCCTAAACCCTAAAACCCTGAACCCTTTTGATATTCTGCGCTACCGCCCCGCCGGAGGAGATGCTCGAGCTCCAACAGACAGCCTTGGAGTTTGGCGGCACGTACAGGTGCAAGGAAAGCGCCGTGGTCGTCTAAGACCGGAGAGTTGGCGAAGATGGGTTTCACCCGAGTAGGTCGCCGAGAGCCGGCAAGAGGAAGCAAAGAGTTCGGGACACACAGGGTTTTCAGGTTCGAGATTTTCATTGCTGATTCAAAACTCGTTTTTTTCTGGCGCAGGTTTTGGGATGCGTCTCTTCAGGCTCAGGAGGTTTTAAGACTTGTCAGTTCAGTTGCTTGCTGTGTGTGGGAGGCGCTGCTTGCAGAGCTTTGCAAAAGCCCAAATCTGATGCCCACCAGTTCTGAGTGACCTGCTCGTCACTCCGTTTCGAGTGCTGTGCTGGCTTCTGATTTGCGGAATTTGCGGAATCGGTTTTGTAAGAATCGTCTGCGCCCACCTGTTCTAGGTAATGTTCCAACGGAGAGTCAGAAGCCCTCACATCAACAAGGGAGCCCGGCTCGAGATTCTTTCACTTTATGTTACCATAATGAGCCGAGGACTACGCAGATGAAGGGTTGGCGTGAGACACTGGGCATTTCTGTTCTCAGTCCTAGGTCCTAGCATGTCCTAGGTGGAAAGAGGTGCAGACCTTGTCTGGCTTCTCCGAGGGTGGGCGCCGAATAGCTCTAAACTCTCTCTGCCATGTCTTAGGAAGTTGCGCCCGCGAGGCACGGATGTGCAGTTGTTGCCGCCGGAGATGCGCCGCATTTCCCAGAAACTGGAGGCACCAACCGGATCTGGAAGAGAAGCAACGGCCGCAGCCAGCGTGGGCGAGAGGAAGAAGTTCTGGGTGTTCGGGCCAAGACAGAAGAAATGGCAATAGGCACATCGCCAAGAGGTATGTCACGGTATGTCATGCTGCACGGGCCGCTCGTTACGTGTGACGAGCCATGATCCAGCCTCGTGCGGTCTTATGCGGGACAGTGACAGTGCAGCACGCAGTTGAACTGTAGTTGCGAGGCGAGAGGTGGGGACACATAGAATACAATTCAACACGACATGCTATCGCAGACGCAGTAGACATGAAACACAACAAGACGCAATAGAGCATACGTGCATCGCGAGATCATGTGTAATTATGCAGAATGCAAAAATGAGTGAGCCAAAAAAAGCGATGCAAGCGATGGAGTGAAGGGGGCGGGATGTTCTAAACCCTAAACCCTAAGGCCCCTTGACCCGACAGCAGGAGGGCTCGGACGACCTCTTTGCAGCAGCGATGCGCAAGGCTTGGGCCGCACTTGCTCGTGGCATGTCGCCCTGAGAAACATTCAAGACATCCTATTGGCAGCCTAAACCCTAAACTAAACCCCAAACTCTAAATCCTAAAGCCTCAACATTAGCAAGTGGAGGATGATGCCAATTCATAATTCAATTGGCTCTGCCTGGACTCTCACATTCGGGGGATTGCAAATTTGGGCTTACTGGATGAGTCGAGCGAGAGGCTGCTGTAATTGCATCTTCTCTCTCCACTCCAGTTTCCTGTTTGCCACACTTGCCAAAGACTGCTACCGTGGTATTTTGCTGCGGTCCTGCACCACGACGTTTCGAGTGAGCCCTGAGGGTGTAGCCTTCGTGCCCCCTGTACTTTGCTAAACCTTTTGCCTCCAGCAATATGGAAGCTGACACACGAACTTCTGAGAGGTACAGTTAAAGCTAGCTGAAGCCTTCTTTTGCTCTGATGGGGCTGCGGGAGTATGATCGATCAGCAATCTGGCCAACTGCGCTGTGATTCTGTTCTGGTTGTCGTCGCGCTGCCTTGTTTTGTCTCTTTCTACCCCAGACACATCACCCTGCAATGCGGGCTCGTCCTTGCTAAGTGGGAGGGAAAAAACTCCTAAAGCCTAAAGCCTAAACTCTAAACCCCAAACCCTAAGCTTCACGCTTCCAGTCTGACAGTGGGACTGCGATGTGTCATGTCCTGTCGGGTTCGAGCTTCGAGTCTACATGAGCGAGTGGCCGAACAGAGTCCACCGAAGGGCCCTCTGTCGGTGGGCCGTGCCTACCAGACGCCGCTCTTCGAGGACGGCAGCCTTTCGGGCAACGGGCCTCCAGGGTGGGATTTGGGGGTTCCAGCGGGGGAAACAAGGGCCTGGGCTCAAGGGCTTGGGTTCTTTAGGAACCTAAGGTTCAGGAGGGTGTAATGATGTAATGTTCCGAATGAGGGTTCTGTCTTGAGTTGATGGTCAAAGCGACTTCCCTCTCTTAGGCTCCCTGTGCCAAGAGGGGTCCGGCTGTCCTCTGAAGCAGCCGCTGCAGCTTCGCAGCTCTCACTCCGAAATCGCTCCCAGAAGCCCCTGAAAGTTCGAAAGCCTGGAAACCCCCCAAACCCTCACTCACACTCCCAGTGCCCATCCGAAATCCTAAACCCTAAACCCAACTAAACCCCAAACCCTCACTCACACTCCCAGTGCCCATCCGGCCCATGGAATCGCTGTTTGGCCCCCCGTTGGCCGAACCAGGAGCTGGTGGCCAAAGGTGCCTCCGGACGTTCCACGATCTCCCGAGAGCATTTCCAGGTCTTTCCCTGCATGTTTTGCTACTAATTACTGTTATTGCTGTTATTTATTATTTTTGTTATGTTATTACCATTCGTATTCTGTTATTATTTGTATTATTATTAGTATTCTGTTATTATTATTGAGGCTACTGTCAGCCGTGATTGGTTCTAAGCCTCTGAAGCCGCGAAAGGCTGCAGCTGTAGCATCTCATGGCATCGAGCTGCATGTGGAACAGGCTTGGTTTTGCCGTCCAAAGCTTGTCTCTGACGACATGTCGAGCAGATTCCACCCCAGGAAGTCGCAGGAGTCAGACAGAAGCAGAGGCATCTGCTTAAGTTTGTACAACACTTCTACACAGCATGAGGGCCGTGCTCGTAACCGTGGGTAGCCGCGGAGACTCGGAGCCCTTCTGTGCTCCTTGGCTTTGTTGCTGTTGCTTGCCCGCAACATTGGAGCCTTCCTCGTCGGGTGATCGAGTTGTTGTGATGGTTTGAAGCCGGTATTCAGTGCTGTTTTCGGCCGGGAAATACCATACATCCTCTGCCCCGCTATCGCCTACCCCAAGGCCTTGGCGGCACATCTTGTCGCCGAAGGCCAGGCAGCAGTAGAATCGCTTACACGGTTTCTGGAATTTGCGAGACTGCTCTTGAGCCATTCTGAGAATGCGAGATACTCGTGGAGCTGTGCCTGGCAGCCCTAGGCGCTTGCCTGCGTGAGCGCTTGACTGCATCCTTTGTGGGCTTAGCAGGCGAGCCCCCATACTCAGTTGATGTGGGCCAGAGACCCGGCATAGGACATTAACAGCTGTCCAACGTCCAAAAAAGGCACCCCCACATTTTATGTTTACTCATAGTTTTCCAGAATATCATTGTTATTACCATTATTATTGTTATTGTTCTTCTTCTTCTTATATTTACTTATCTATTAATACAAATTATTGTTATTATTATTGTCATTACT